AATCAAAATCACGGGGTGTGAATTATCTAAAATCGCTCACGCAGTCCGCTTCCGTCAACAATTCCAGCAGCGGCACGCTTGATATGTGCGCGGACACTGTTCGGGAACAAGAGGTGCTCAGTTGTAGTGCGAGGCAGGCCAATTGCTCCGCACGTTGCAAGCATGACTTGTCTGTTCACGTCACCAGCCGGGCAATGGAGCAAAATGTGGTCTAGAGTCTCCAGGCCATCGCAGTCCATGCAGTATGGACTGCCACGCCCGGAGTGACGATGTTTTCGCTCGGCGGTGTAGTTGTCTCCAGCGTGGAGACGGAGAAGGAAACCGCGGTCTCGTCTTGGTAATCCCTTGTGAGGGAGCCGCCGCGGCGGCTTTCCAGCTGCTACGCGAGGGTCGGGATGACGCTCGCGCACGTAGCGGGCGGTGAGGAGACGGCCGGCATCCGCGGAGCACACGAAGTTGGTGACGCCGGTGCCGCGGTCGTGCGCCTCCCTCGCGGCGCAGTCGGCCGCCTCGTTGCCGGGTATTCCGATGTGTGGAGGCACCCAGTGCAGCGAAAGGTCGCAGCCCATTTGCTGCACGGCGTGTAACTTCGGAGCAACTCTCTGCGCAAGGGGGCTGCCGTCTTCCTCGCGCGAGATCACGGCCAAGGCCACCCGGGAGTCGCAGATGAAGGCTGCAGCGCTCATGGGCGTCCGCTCACTCTGTAAATCGGCTGCGAAATTATATAGCAGCGAGTTCCGTCCCAGTGGAGGAGGCGAGAAAGGGTAGGCGCCACTAGAGAACCGCGCCGACTGATGGCACAACGCAGGCGGCGGCTGCGGAGCCGTCGTGAAGCACTGACCCGTCGACGTAATTAAGCAGCCAGCCGTTCAGCTGTTCATGAAGGAGGGTGGAGCACTCCTGCTGCATCGCAGCCAGTGGGGTGCTCGCCTTTGCTTTGATGTCGCCAATGGCCTTGGTGATGACCAGAGGAGTGTGGCGGTATAGGGTGGGATAGCCGGCGAGCTGGTGTACTGCGTGTACGTCTGGCACAACCGTCAAGAGCTCACTCGCCCGCTGCCCCATGGATGAGTGAGGTAGAGCGTATAAGCCTGTTCACAAGTACCTGCCCCTGCCTTATGGTTTTCAGCCGCAGTACATGATTTAGTGGCCGCTAGGTACGCTGGCAGATGGGAGTTTCCCCCACTTCAACGGACTTCCCCACACCTCCCAGGTGTGGGGAAGTCCGTAGCACTCCCGCACGGCGTTGCGACGGTCCGCATCCAAGGCAGCCAGCTGGCAAGCACTAAACGAAGCCACTGCTGCCGTGTACATTACGCGTGCCGATGTGACTGCGTTGTAGACTCGCAGGACAAGGGCAGGGGTGCAGCCGTTACCTCGCGCGAGGAGACTGCATGCGGCGCCGAGTACCTTGCGGTTGCTTGTCCGCAGATTGTTGACGGATGGTCGCCAGATGAGCCGGTGGTCTATGGTCACCCCCAAGTAGCGCACCTTCGAGCTCCACTTGACGCGGAGGCCCCAGAGTGAGAGCCGAGGCGTGGAGCGGAGTGTCGACGCTTGCGGGTGGACGAGTACAGTGCCTCCGTCTTGGAGGTGGCGAGCGCCAGTCCAATCCCGCTAAGGAATGCGTCAACCACATCGATGGCCACCTGGGAGGACTCGAGAAGGGTTTGCCTGCGGCCCGGTGGCGACCGTGGGGCCACAGGCAAACAGCGCAATGTCATCGGCGTAAATCGCCACATGCACATCACAAGCCGTATTGCGCGGGATGTAGTCGGGCAGCTTGCCAAGAGCCAGATTGAACAGAAAAGGGCTCATTATGCTGCCCTGGGGTACGCCCGCGGTGACAAAGTGGGGACCGCTGATTGTGGAGCCAACACGAACACGAAGAGTGCGGTCGCCCAAGAAGCTCTCCAGGTAGTCAAATATCCGGGCGCACACACCGAAGTCATGAAGTGCGTCCGAAATCGATGCGTGGGGCGAACAGTCAAACACACTTTTCACGTCGAGCAGCATGAGGATGCCGTAATCGCCACGGTACTTGGCCTCCTCGAGGGTGGTGATCACGTCAGCCAGTGAGTCAAAAGTATAGCGCCTTGGGCGAAATCCGCTCTGTTCGGGAGGGAATGCGTTGGTTGCGGAGACAATCAGCGAATGCGTCGCCATGCCATGGCTTCCATGACTTTTCTTGCGGACGAGGTGAGTGATACTGGCCGGTAGGGTGAAAGCTCCGTGGCCCGCTTCCGTGGCTTCAGGATGGGCACCACGAGCGCCTCCTTCCAGCCGGAGGCGCCTGATCTGTGCGCCACACTTTCTTGTAGACCTCCAGCAACCGGGGAGCATGGAGGGGTCAATATTCCACAGCACCTGGTAGGTGAAACGTCCACTCCAGGGGTAGGCAGCTTCGTGCGGTTGTTGAGCACTGCGATCAGTTCACTGAGAGTAAACTCCTCGACCCGCGGATCTCCAGCAGAATGCCCTCGGTGGGGAGGTACCACTCGGGAGCGAACAGCTCAGTCCTTTTGCGTGCAGGCACGGGTGGTAGTCCGTGCGGTGGCTGTGGGCAAGCAGGAGGGGCAAACTTGTCTGCCAGCATCTCAGCCAACTCCTGCACGGCGATCTTCATTGCAACAGCAACACAGATAACTAGGCAGCAAGGCTCTCTGGTGCGAAGAACGGCAGCGAATATGCACCAGGCTTGGGCGTGGTTCTGACGGTCATCTAGTGACAAGCAGACGCCGTCGCGAAGAGCTCTGGTCGCGACGGCGTGTGGCGTGCCTGCGGCACACCGCGCCATTACAGTTACAGGCACGCCAGTGTTCCACCTTCTGCGAGTGCACCGCCACGATTTGCGCCCTGAGACGCGCAGCACGAAGATTGAGGAAGGAGATGTCTGGTGCGGGGGTGCCCGCAAACACGGTGCAGCAGGTGGTAGCTGCGTAGTGGCACTCGGCCAACGGGTGAAGAAGTCTGCAGGGACTGGCACTGTAGCACACATTTCTCTGAAGCACGTCCACTTCACAATACTGCAGGTCCGAATGCACCTGATATATGTTAGCTGAGGGGGCTCTGACCACGATGGTGTAGTGGTCGGAGCCCTGAAAGTCCGGTGCATGTCGCCACTCATAGTTATACGTACCAGAGTCAGGTCGATAGCACTGTCGGACACACCACGACGCGCCAGAGTACAGCTACCCGTGTTTATAACAAGCAGTATGGCTTTTTGCACGGCATAGAGGAGGTTGCGCCCACGGCCGGTGGTTCGTCACGCCACTGCCCCATGAGGTGTGGTGAGAGTTAAAGTCACCACCGATGAACACGTGGCGATTTAGGAGGTCTGCGAGGCGGCACACAATATTGGTGTGCCAGCGTGGCGAGTAGTTCCATGTGCGCACGTAAACGCTCGCGACACTGGTGTCCGTGCTCCTGATGCGCACGGTCAGGGCGACGGCTTCGAGGGTGTCACAGAGAATGTCCTCGATGTCCACCGCAGCGTGAAGGAGGTCGGCGCGAACATACACCGAAGCCGGTGAGGTGCCAGGAGGATGCTTGCGGTCGAGGAGGCCTTGCAAGGTTCACAGTGTTCATGTTTGGCTCAGGCGCGTCATGCTGTTGCGTGCGACCATGGATGATGTCATGTTAATATTGGAGAGAAGCTGCCTTGTTTTTGGGCATCCAGAAAACGAAGCAGCATGGGGCCTCTTGCAATTGGCACACTTAGGTCCTTGTGATGATGGTCTTTGGCACATCTTCTGCAGCGCCTAGTTCCTCGGCAGTTTTTCGGCAAGTGTCCGAACTTCTGACAGCTATAGCAGCATCTTGCTGGGCCCAGATATTCCTCAACCGGATGGCTGGTAAATACAAGGAATACTTTCTCTTGAAGGGGTCTGTCATATCTGAATTGTAAAACCACACTCCTCAGTGGGTGCGATGCTACAGTGCCATCTTCTTGTCATATGTAACATGCCTGGCGTTTAGCGATGTCATTGCTGTCTCTCTTGAATATTTCGCGTGTTGTTCTTCGCGTATACTTTAGAGGCACATGTCTTATTTTCCCTACATTTCGTATGTATGACTCCGGAATGAATCGCTTCACCAGCAAGCCAGCCACCAGCGCACACGACAAGCTTTTGGCTGAAGCAAGAAAGGTCACAGTGGCTGAGAAACTTTTATCGTTGTTAACTCGGAAAGAACGCACTTTCTTTTTTGCCAGCGCAACAATTTCCGAGGCTACAACATTTGGGTTTAATTCCAGAAGGTTCCCGTTTCCTCTATTGGTCGGAATACCGCAGGAGTTTCCTCAAATATTCTCCTTTTATATGTCACTTGAGTGAAACTATCTGCTTCCTGATCAGATTCGATATCTTCATCAATAAAGGAGATGACAGTGATCAAAACTTTATTACTCCCAAAACAGGGGACCAGCCGAGAGGTCGGTTACGCTGCTTAGAGGAGTAGGTCGATGTCCCTTCCTGCATTTTGTCCACCTGGTCTTCCACTCTGACCTTTTTCGCTGAGCTTACTTCGTTCGACATGTCCTCAGCGTTCATCATCGCCACCAAAACGAGTGTTGGTGCCCTTATGTAAAAATTCCTGGCAGAACCAGGTTGATTCACATGCTCGTCGGTTCCGAAGCCCCGCTGTGGTAAAGGTGGCCCTTGCCTTGCTTGCACATCCTGTCTGCTTCTGTCCGCCACGGTGACAGTGAAACGTCAGCGCTCAGTGCCGTCTCACCACTTCCTGCTATCGGGGTTCACAGCTGATGTTGTGCTCAACACTGTAAAAAGCTTTTCGTGGCTGGCAAAACCAAACTTGCAGGAGCACAGTAAGCAAATAACATTCTTCTATCACTCCCTAACTCCTGACTTGATGGCATCGTGTTGTCTATTACATTTTATGCTTTTAAGATATAGAAACAAGCAGAAAAGCAGTGTGTGTGCACTTTTTGTAAAAATATCCGCCAGATCTTCACCACCCCGATGCGTTTCGACATCTTCCAGAACATGACAGTTCTCGACATGTTCAAGATGTCCGAGGAGTTTTTCACATCCATGGGCCTGCCGCCAATGCCTAAAACATTCTGGGAACGGTCGGTGCTGACAAAGCCGACTGACAGAAAGATTGTGTGCCACGCTTCGGCTTGGGATTTCTTCATTGGCAAGGATGTAAGGTGAGCACATGCGTCTCGAACGGGTACAAATAAAAAAACTGTAGAAGTGGAGTGAAGGCCGCAGACGCTGGACAAAGCCGAATAGTCGTTCATCTCGAATGAAAACGCTGCTCTAAAGTGTATACATGCATATGAATGTTCATTTTGTATGGTAACACGCACTTCCACAACTGCAGTTATGGTTACGCATTGATATTGGAATCGAAACAGCTTTACTAAAGCGGAACAACGACGAAATTTTGAACCATGTAAAAGTGTTTTGCCACAGATAACGAATACGTTGGAGACCCTCCTTGTGACTTTTCCTTTGACATTAGCATAGGGGCGGATTCACAGCAATAAAGCTCGCATGAAATAGATATGTTTTCGGTGCACAAGTCAATGAAGGCACTGTCGTTAGCACTTACTGCAAAACTAAATGTAAGATTGCCTGCAGTTAAGACAAGACTGTTCGCATAATAGGGATATTTTGAAATTATTGACGCACCAAGATATAGCCTCACGCCCTGCGTATAAGTTCTTTGGAAGGCGTTCCGCGTTCTTTCAAACGCCTGGTGCTTCTCGTTCCTAACTTCTCTTTCTCAAGGACCTAAAAATGTGCTGCATAGCTAATCACTTACTACCAATGGAAGCAAAGTAAGTGAAATTTTATGACAGTTGGCATTGAAGAATTTTTTTTGCGTGTTATCAGCTATATCGTGATATAGAGGCTTTTGTAGAAATGTTTCTCATTTGTGGCACCGTATACCAACAGGATCAAGCAATGCACCCAGGTGCAGATGGACGATCTGCTCGTTGTTCACCACGAAATGGGCCATGTTGAGTACTTCCTCAAGTACGCCAAGCAGCCGGTCGTATTCAGGACAGGGGCGAACCCTGGTGAGTGCACACATTTATTTTATCAATTGTTTTTTTCATCATAATAACGATGTGGCATTCAAACCCCAGTCATCCATAGCTTAAAGGGACAGCTCTTTATTTCGTCGCCATATGTTTACTAGCAGAGGAGGAAGCCATTGAGAAAATTTTCACTTCTTATTTTCCCACTTGAATCTCTGAAGTTGACGTCACGAATTTCATAGTGTTTTCCGAGTTTTTGGTATATTGGGTCAACAAATTTTTTAAACTTCGTATAATAAATCTATGGCTCTCTCAGAACACAATACACTTCATCTTTGCCAATTGAGAACAAACTACGTAGGCCCACACCCTGTCGGAATATATTACGGCGACTGCGTTAATGTCAGAGTGGCACAGCCATGATCATTTTCGTGTGTTTGTTTTTTTTTGCTTACTTCGCATCGGAAATTTTAGAATATATCGAAAACAAATGATTCACTCAAATGAGAGAACTAAGTTTTTTTCTTTACAGTCCCTTTAACTGCCGATCGGTATCTCCCGAGAACACGCCAGCCAAATATTACAGCGCAGCACGCAGCCTAGAATTTACAATAAATACTCAAAGTTAGCCTAACTAACCACTTTCATTTCTCTCGACAAATGACATTAAACAATCAAAAATAAGTTTTCACGGTCATTCTATCAGCCATCGGCCGATTTGGGCATGACACACTCGGTCGCTACCGGGGCAGCCGGAGGAGGCCGCGACTTATCCACGCGTACGCGCCCGATCGCACTGAAAAGCTGCGCATTCGAGGAAAAAAAAGCAAAAAGTGGTCAAGGTCACGAGGCGCGCGTGAGTATTTTTTGTTTTTTTTTCCTGTGCCATCCCTACTTAGCTTTCAGCGCTTTTATCGGGACGAGAGAAGACACTTGCAGCGTGCTACAAATCGTCGTAGCTCCGCTTGTACTGAGTGGATTGTAAAACTTCTTGCGGTGGTGAATTCATGAGACAATAAGCTCACCTAGTGAATCTATTCTATGGCTACTTGGAAAAGTGTTGCAGGACATTTTTAAGGATGTCATGACAAGATTGGATTATAAATATTTGCACATTGTGCTATATAAGCTCACATGTAATCTCAGAATATCTTCTCATGATTGCGGGCATTGCTTTCATCTTTATACAGTCATCGAGTTTCTCTAGAACAATACCAGACCAGTGGTCAATGGTTGTAGATGAAATTATTTCAAGAATTTATTCTTCACAATTGTACGGCATTAGGGTCTGAGCAAGCGGCATAATAAGTTCTTCAATTACTCAAATATAATAGATATTGTTGAAGGACATCAGAACCCATTCAAAGATTTTAGACTGTGTTAGAACATGTGACACTAAAATTACATTGTGTGGTCTTTTGTTCCATGGTCTAAAAACAAAGCTGCCAATTTAAAAAAAATATGCCTCGCTGTGGTGAACTTTAGGTGTGCCACAGCGCAGCGGGTGGCGCTGCCAGCGTGTCGCAGACCGACATTCATTTCAATCCCTTTGCACCGCCTAACAAAGGCGTGGACAAGGAGAAGAGAGAAAAACCGGTCCCTGAGTCGGCTGAGTTCAACAAACAATAATAAAGTTAGTTGGTATTGAGACTCTCAGCAGCACACTTCGTCTCTGCGTTCCTGGCACGCACAAACACTACATCACTTTTGCGCATCTGGAACACTGTGTATTTCAAAAGCAGAAAATTAACAATGGCAAAGTGATAGACCACGGCACTTAGCATTAAACATCATTGTAATGCAACATTAAACTCGATCACGGTTTTAAATCATATGAGCAGTGATGTAACTACATAGGACGGTGCCCATGGCAAGAAACGTGCTCATAGAAGGGCTACAAGATATATATAATTCTGTGCCCCTCATAATGACCATAATGGGGATAAATATAATTATTATTATTGTAGTACTAGTATTTACATTAGTATACTAGTATTTAATATTTTATTTATGCACAAAAAAATCTGGCCATTTTGTGCAAGCGAATGAGTGATTTCTTGATTGGTTGTTCATTTCAGTGGACTAAAGCTGTCTTGCATGTCCACACATTTTATAATACACCAGAAGTTCACAAGGTTAGGAAAAATGTGAAAGAAGATATGGACCTACTTGTTGTTTTCTCACTTCACAAGAAACGTTCGATTTTTGCAAATTAGGCTAGATACAATCACACAAAAGAAAACGATGAGGCACATGTAAAGGGTAGTTCTTAATGCTTTTAATTGCATCACCATAAAATGTATTGTTAAAAATTATTTATTGTCTAGATGTCACGGAAAAAAAAGTACCGATCGATAAAAAAAATGAAGAGGGGTCGCTCAATTTGATGGAAGAAAGCAGTCTGTGAACGAGCTTCTGATTTCAAAAAGATGCGAGAGAAAGTTTGCTATAAAGACCATACTTATGTTTTTAATTTCATATTTCATCCCGACGCCTGCCTACGAAATCTCAGCCTAAGCTTGGAGGCTGACATGTCTGGTGAGTTGGTGAAGAGGTTCTCGATCGCAACTCTTCAGCAACCTTTGGGCAATGCTTTCCCTTTTCTACTGTCACTACGGCTACCTGCGATACATTAGTGGAGCAGGTTGGGACTGCCTAAAGTCCCTTTTACCATCTGTCACAACGGATATATATGTAACCGAGGTGGCTTGGGTCGAAACGGAATAAAACGATCATTTCAAGAGATGATTTCAGTGGCGAAGCTAGACGGAGGCTTGCAGGTTCAACGTTGCACAGCCCTGCTATTGTTCTATTTTGCATATATATGTGTGTGTGTGTGCATGCATTTGTGCATGTGCATGCACATATACAAGCATATGCCAGATCACAAAAGGGGGAAGCCAAAACCTCAGAAAAAGAAGTGGGGGGGGGGGGGGGGGGTTCGTTCAATACTCTTCATAGGCACGTTCGTGGTTAAAGTTGCGCTTATAAGAAAACAGGCCTAACTGACCAATTTATCTCATTGCTTTTCATTTAGCCTTGGATATGAGCGAGGAAAGTTTAAGGAAACAAGATACATTCTGAAGTTGTGGCCCAGAAACGTGCTCATGAAAGGGCTACAAGATATGCAAGCCTTTACCTCCAGAATATCAAGGCAGAAGATACACCAAACCAGCTGAAAAAAGGCAGTGCTGTTTATGCAAAGCACCCACAAATGGAATGTGAGAAGCCTCCCAGGAATTAATTTTGTTTTGTGAAGAAAGAAGCACCATTTAATTAGTCAGACGAGTCTCTATAGCCTCACATGTGGTACCAGGGAGAAAAGGGGTGTTGGGATAGTGTGAGAATAGTGTGAGGGCATGCCCCACTAGTTTTGAACCTGTAGGGGCGAACTTTTCACGGGTCGCAGGGCAGTAGCACACCATTCCTGTGCTCACTAGGTCCTCAAGTGCATGTTTGACGGACTCGGCTCGGCGCCCCCTCCAAAGTGGCACACAGGACACTTTAACCTCCTTACCTCCTTGGCCCACCCTAGTTACGCCACTGCATAAGAGATAGGTCGGCGATATACACAGATCCAAACAATTGCAGTTTTTTTAATACTGATTCCCTTGCAGACGTGGCAACAATATAATCAAGCAAAATTCACGACTTTTTTTGTTCCCCTCTTTATAAGCTTCGAGAATGCCTGGAGAGCCGGGAAAAATAACACGGAAAAGATAATGTCAAAAAAACAGCTTCGCTATGTATCGCAAGTTCTATAACTTTTTAAATGAATATTTAGAGCATGAAATGTACATATAAAGATAATCAGTAAAGTAATTGTGAGATAGGCTGAGCTAGAATAATACAATACCTTGTCTAAACTACCTGAGGGGCATGAATTAAAGAGGGTAATTCTTTGGGAAGATTTACAGTTCATAGGTCTTACAATGCACAAAAAAGAAACGTGAACAAAGGTATGATGAAAACGAAATGAAAATGAGTATCTATCTGTTCCCCAAGTTCTCGAGCAGCTACAGGCCGTCATATGGCTACAGCTGAACTAAACATCCAAGCAAGCTGAAAACTTTCCAGGTTTTGTGGACAAATCAATAAAGCGGGGTGGCATAGCTATCTATGGCCCTTTCACCTACGTTCTCGTTACGGATAGTTTAGCTCGTTTCGCATACACACAACTTTCTTTACTATAGGTACTACAGACCTATTTCATGTTTGTAAACAGTGGTAGGCGCCATCAAAACAATGAGGCACTTGTCGCAGATTCCGCCCAGCCCAAAGCTTGCCACTGCCCTCTATGATCATGTCATAACTGGCAGACCTCTGAGCATAGTGGTTCAGGGATCCGCCTGGGATAGAGGTCTACCACTGTTTACAAACATAGAATATATAGATCTACATATTCCACACACACAGTAACTCTACCAGAAGGGTGACAGGAGCGTCAGGTGTTGGCAAACAAGACTGAAAAACCCGACAGACATAGGCGTGCACAGGGTTAGCATTCGGGAGAGAGGGGGCAAAGGTTTGTCAGAGCGCCCCCCTCCTGATTATGTCAATGTATGGGGTCACCTTTGTGCCACTCTCCCACGAGTCGCATCGCTGCCCTTCCCAAATTTGTCAATGTGTGGCACTGACTTTGTGCCCCCCTCTTAGGTGATTAGATGGGGCTGCCGCCCCCTCTGCCCCCTTGTGCGCACGCCTATGCCAGAAGGTGCTGAGAGATTACTCACGTTTAATTTGTTTTTTCCTAGTGCGATAGTGTTTATGAGAAAACTTCGGGTGCATTTTTGTCGTCGACATTGCCCATAATGTTCCATGTAAATTTCAGGAATGCTAGCATGGTGAAGCGCGTCGTATGTTTCATATGAGAGTGAAAGCCTGTAGTGCCAGCTGAGGATAGCGGCCCCAGCAAAGAATCAACATTCTGCGTGGCTCCAGCAGAAATTGATATTCTGATTGGCTGGGCACAGTTGCTGTGTCTTGAGAGATCAGCAAATGGCTAATACCTTTGTACGTGTGTGTTCTCGTCGTTAATTTTGTATAAATGGATTGAACGCAAGTGTTTTGTTGAGCTATGCCAGGTTGGATGCCAAAGAAGTCAGATGCTAACCTTACTTCGTGTAACGTTCCAAACTGTTACTATTGCATTCATTATTTTGGCCTGGTGACAAAATAGTAATTTTTTCTTGGTATTAAATGTTTTACCTATCTGCACATACAACCAGTAGCCAGAATCAGTCGTTATAAGAGATTAAGTGGCATATGTATAACAGCATTGTAGGAGGCAATGCCTTATACCAAAGAACACACTTTATACCACTAAGTATAGCAACTACTCATTGTTGCTTTAGGTATCTTGTTCAAGCTGGTATTGTACAACTGAGTGCCACTGTATAAATAATGTAATATTCTTTTAAGAAGTTCTTGTTTTCTGTCATAAGGTTTCCATGAGGCGATCGGAGATACAATCGCTCTTTCCGTGGCCACACCGAAGCACTTGAAAGCAGTTGGCCTGCTGGAAGACAGAATGGAGGACGAAGGTACAGTGCAACTGTGTATCATTAAACTTTCTGCAGTGCTTGCCATTTCAGGGAGTACAGACCCTATGAGAAAAATGCAAAATATGCAATTATGAAAACAAACGGAATAAAATTTCGACCGAAAGTGCACAGCAGAAAAAATGCCTGTATCTAGGCATTTTATTCACACAAAACCTTAAAAGAGCTTCCATATGTTACCAATATTAATAACGAAAATTGGGCAGTATGTAGTTCAGGCTTTTTACATTAAAATTCATTTCAACATTTGAAGGAAAGCTGAATTTAACTCATTTATATATGCAAATGTTTGCAAGCATTGCTCAATATGTATAATCGTTTTATTTGTGTATGTGTGTTTTTTGTGGGATGGCTGAAGGGGATTTGAAACCACTCACTCGCTGCCAACACCAGTGCAGTTAGTCAAAATCAATTTAGAGTTCATTAATTGGTTTATAATTAGACAAGTTACAAGAAATTAAGCTTCACTGATGCCAAGCCCTTGGGAGGCGACAAGCACTCCCAAAGGAGACTCTCTTCGTTTGCCTCGGCTTGTACACATAGGCTGCCAGAGGAGTGTGTCATGCGTTTTGCGCCGCCGGCATGTCTGAGTGAAGGATTTATTGGCACAGAAGAGAATGAAAGATAACAAATGCAGAATACAGCAAGAAATAAATGACACTGACAGACTAGAAAGCGAGTGGATGAAAGAGGAGTAAGCTGCAGTGGAGGAGAGAAATGGTAGATGAGATGTTTCTTAAAAAAAAGTATTTAGGGAATTTAGTGCTTCCTTGCACAAAGGCTGTGAAGGGGCCATCTGACACATTTATTTCATGCGCGAGTGTGTGACAAAAGAACAATTCTGTTTTAACACACACAAATTTGTTTTATAAGCCTGTGCCACTAGGGTGAGTGGAGCGTATTCTAAAGTGAATGCAAAACGCACCTATTTTGAGGGTTGTAGCCACATGTGTGCCAATGCTGCATCCAACACAAGTCACAGTGTTCTCTTCACAATAAGTGGCACAACAGGTCCAAGTCATAGGTGTAAGAATGACACATTTAGTGCCTACGCAAACTGCCTGCAATGCTTCAGTGATTTCCTGAATGGTGCTATCATCGTAGTGCTTTCTCTGCTGTTCTCTTATTTTTGTGTGACAAGTGCTCGACTTAGTAGGGGCTACAAGGTATACAGAAAGCTCCTTGTAAATTTTTGTGCCTCCTACCCCTGAGGGCATGTCCTCCTTATGTTGTGGATACTTGAACAAGCCTTTTTGCTGAAGGAACCAAAACACGAGTTAACCAGCCCCATGAAGGTGTGTCGCCTGAAACATAAAACTTACGAGTGTCCACGAAATGCTAGCAGAGCTTTTTAATGCACTGCCAAAGCACTTTTCCACATGGTGCCTTTTCAGTAGTGCGGAAAAGTTTGATTGACATAGTAGAGGTGTTTTTTGTGAGGTTTAAAATGGTGGCACGCTTTACGGAAATGTCAAGATGTCTGATACCTCATAAATGCATGTCTCTGTCACTTTGCAAAAGATGCATATTCTTTGTATGACCAAAACGTCTTTCAAAGTTGAATATATCACATTGCAATAGTAGGATAAGGCGTCATCTTTACCTCAACATTTGACAGGATTATTCAGGATGCTTGCGGCCACACTGTTCAGTTTACAACATGTCTCAGATTGTATGGAAGTATCCAGATGTCAACATTACATGACAGTAAATTTGCCACTACTGCAATAACAACACTTACAGGATAAACACTACATAAAAATAGGTCCCGATGCTATCCTAATCCATTCGTATGACACAGCGGTTGCAGAAGGTTGCTGCTACACTCTTCAGTGGATACAGAGTTCACTAATGTTAGGATTGTATGATGACAATAAATTTGTAACTTTTACTACAGGAAACCACGTAGTTTGTTGTAGTAAAGGTTAGAAACTTATGAGAGAAATGCTACACAGATGTGATTAAACACGTCATCCCTACCCGGTCATTTAACACAGTGATTTCGGACAGTGGCTTAAAGAAGCACTGATCTGACACAAATTTTCTACATCTGTTCCTTTTTTTTGTTGCAAGAGGTCGCTAATGACCTACTAAACACAGATGAAAAGCTCATTTGCTCTAACATGCAATGTTTAATTGTTTGGAGGTGGTTTTATAGCAGTCAGTCACAGTTTCAGAAAGCACCGAGTGATGCAGGACCCAGAGTACTTTTCGTGTAAACATAGCTGGCCTTCGTGAGCTGAGCACGCAATACCGCACGTGCATGAAAATCGCTCTGGCGATTCTTTTCAGCGGAGGCTTCCTGTGCGCTGCCATAATCTCCTCCAAGGAGTTGTGAATAAGAGTGAGCCCCCAAAGGTTCACTGTCGAGGCGAGGACAACAGCCTTTGTACGGCCGTGCATGTCTGCCCCCTCCTTCTGTTTAAAAAATCTGCTAAGAGAGAGCGCTCGCAGGGATCATGGCAGTCAACTCCTGACACAAGGGGGCAGACTTGTTTACACGAAAAACAAAAGCGCGTCACATGCCCCACATTTTAAAACTTGATTCAAATAATTTTCAGGGTATTATTCATTGATATTTCGTGGATGATGAATGTGAGTCCACACAAATCTCTACGCCACAAGTTTTCTTGTCCTCATAGGTTTGTGTCAGTACTCCTTTAAGTGTCAATGTACACCAAAGTTCGCTAATAATATTATCCCAATACAACAAATTTGCGAGGAGACAGCGCTTCTCTAGCATTTCTTCTGCATCAGTATAAACAACTCTTTCAACTTATGTGCCATACTGCTAGTATTTTGCATTGTTCACTTTGCATGCAAGACTGAGATACCATGCTTGGCAGGTTAGTCTAGCAACAGGCTTGGCATGCTATAAGGGGTGGGGGGGGAGGGGGGTCCACAAGAAAAAATTAACAATACTAAATTTGTAACTTTTCAATCACTTGGGATCATTTTATGACAAGATATATCTTAAATACATGCAAACCACTTTTCAGACCATCGTGACAGTTGCACCATCTGACTGTGATTATGAATATTTTTTCTCGCAATTCGTGCAGCACTATGAACTTAAATGAGTGCTAGTTATCTAATCAGAAAACCTGTTCAAACGTGAACACTGCATTTCAAGTCACTTGAAAAAACACACAGTGCGCACCGCCACTACATAGTCGAAGTGTACAATTGTAACCACCACCACTCAAGGAATGTACTATGCTAGTGAAACAATAGTACAGCTTCACTATGTTTGCATCAAGTGCTTTTATGGATTTATGACACAAATGACGTGCACATGTCATGGGCATTGAGGTGATCACCTGTCCTTAGTGCGGAGAAAGGACAGGCAGAACAGATGCTCTGCAATAACTGAAGGATCTCCCAGAAAATAGATGAATGAGTGGCGTGAAAGAATAGTTGAAAAAACAAACCTGAAGCATTTTCATCGTGCATTTCAGAAACGGACATCAACTACCTGTACAGCATTGCCATGGATAAGGTGTCCGTCATTCCCTCGGTGTACATTTATGACCTCTGGAGGTGGAACGTGTTTAAGGGAAAGTACAAGCCCGAAGACTACAACAAGGCTTGGTGGACACTGCTGTGAGTTTCAGTTAACTGCTTTAATCAGGGTCTCATGTTTTTCATAAATGACCAAGTGCACTTAACACTGCTCGAAGCAAAGAGTTCCACACCGATTCCAACGATAACAGGTGCTTCAGCATGTATAAAAAAACACTATATGTGAGTGGTTCTGTATTTCAGTTCTATCAACAAATACCTTCAATACAAAACTCTTGGTTTTATTCTCAGCAACAAAACGCTCTGTAACTTGTATCTGGCACGAAAAACAATTTTGGAAATCTTTTATACGCTCAACGAGCTTATTGTGCGCCAAACCTTAAAAGAAGGCAAATCGTTTGTAGGGATTGTTTTTTACACACCCTAATAAGTCAAACACATAGTTAAGACAATGAAAGCATAATCAAAGCACTTGTTATTTTCAAGTGTAATGTGGCAACTTGGACACAAATTGTGATGCTTAGGCTAGGGATTCTGGCCCCACGTGCAGTTAGGGTGTTTTTTTCAGTCCTATTAATTAATTTCATAATGATTATACTACAATTGAAACTAACATATAAAAATGACCCATGCTTTCCTTGCCTTAATTGTGTGTTAGGTTCATTAGGCTGGAGATCAAACCAAACATGAAAGGAGGCCTAGAGGAGTAAGGCAAAGACATAACTGCCTGAAACTATTGCGCACTGCAAAGCAGAGTAATTTAGGTTTGGCAGTGAAAGAAAATACCTAGTAACCAACTGGTAAAATAGTCATCTTTTAAACCGCACTGATTGCCCACTTGTCCTCATAAATCTTTGGGTCAAGTTGTTTAACACTTTAAAGAGCGTGGGCTGATTTCTATTTCTCGACCAAACATTTTTGCATGCAAAAACTATGAACACAATGAGAGGAACAAAATAATATTGGTAACCGGCTAGAAAAACAGAGAAGTTGTTTATTTTACATATGGCATAAATTATACCAGAAGTAATGAAGGGCAAAACTGAATTAGCCGGGTGAGAATAAAAGTTTTCAAGTGAATGAAATGTCTATAAACCAAATGAATGAATCAACGTGTACACTAAGTGACTTACAATTGATCATTAGGCACACAAGCAGAATCATATGCAAATCAATGTTTACTTAACTTAATCAAAAAGTGAAATACATAAAAATTATAGTTCTCAAAGGTGTATCTAATGTGAATTAATAGCGAACCAACTGCTAAAGTGATATTAAGTGACTTAGCAGGGAAAGTAAAATGAGTGCAACCTGTTCTCTCAGCGCTAGCAGAAGCGCGTTAATTTGCTCTTGAGATTTGTCAACTTTATGAAACAGCACTGACTTTTTGCATTAACATTGACCGCCTGAGGTTATAAATGTCGCCCTACTGGGTGAAATCATTGTTCTGGCATAGTGCACGCTACTCGAGAACAAAGGTGCAAAATAGGTGTGATACTGTTCGGCCTGAATGGCTACAATGGTGTGAGATAATTTGCTACAACGCATTTTATCCTAGTAAGTTATAATTCTGATGCCTTTCTTATCTAAGAAAAACTTTTTTTTACACATCTGTTACGTAAGAAATGACTGAAGATGTTGAACTTGTATTTCAGACTGAATTACCAAGGAATCTGCCCCGGTGTCCCACGAGCACCAGATGATTTCGACCCACCATCAAAATACCACATATCTGCCAATGTACCATATATTAGGTAAGCTTAATTTTTTACAGAATCGTAAACAATTTACCCATAGAAGACAATGTATTCGAAAAAGAAGAGGATTCTACATACTAAGTCAAAACACATATTCTAGTCAAAAATGAAATAATTTTCAAGCTTTCACATGTACAATAGCCGCTCACCACACAATGTTCTCAAAAATTCTATCTTCCATTATGTGACATTGGCAAACGCTAGCATTTTCATTAAGTGCCCATTGTTGTGCTGTAATGTTTCAATCATGTGCAATTCTTTATCATGTGATACAACTTGCACTGGTGGGCTCCTCTGTGCACGAGAATGAGAGAATGGTTTTACCACAATATAGTACAAGTTTGGAGGCAAAATATATATCGTGGGTTAAGGCTATAATTTTTCAGTGCTAGAATAGGTATTAGAAAAATTAACCTGCCTGCACTGTCACAGCACTTCAAGTCTGCCTCATTCTGTAAGCTTGTAAATCAACAATGACTCGTCACTAAACAGATAAAGCAGGCCTTTTTTTTTACTTGCGAGAAACTCATACAGGGCAAATATTGTCGTGACATACCTCTAAAAATAATGAAGAAAAAATATTACTCTTGAATTAGTCTACACAAGATGACTTTATCAAATTTTAAAGAAACTTACACTTGTGAATGCAGTGAGAGGTGTATTCTGTTTGTATATATATATATATATATAAATTTTATCAAATAATCCTGATATCTTTTTGCAATCTTGATCAAATAAGACACTTCTTTGTGTGGGCATAAACTAGGACTGTATACTAGTAGTAATTCAAATATATTGTGAAACATTGGCTCAATTGCGAGCAGCTATATTTTCTTGTGAAAGTGAGGTTTCATTTGTGCAGATGTGAAAGCCTTTATGAATACTTTTGAAAGAAAACTAGTGGACCCATTTATTCTTCTTTTTTTACTCAGCAATGGTTTCATCACTTAAAGGGGCTCTGAAACGCTTTTTCATGTAACCACAAAATGAATTCACTGGCAAAGCTTACTGTCTCACGAATTCAACGCCGTAAAAATTTTAAGAATCTGTCCAGTGCGAGCGGAGTTACAAAGGTTTGTCGCACGCTGCAATTGCATTCTCTCTTCTCTTGTCCCGACAGCAGCGCTGGAAGCTAAGCAGGGAGGGATGGCAGGGCACAAGAAAAACGTTACACGAGCCTCGTTGCATTGAGTGATTTTTTTTCTTTCTTTAGATGCGCCGCTTTTTCGGTGTGATCGCGCGTGCACGCGTGGACAAGTCGCGGCCTTTCGCGGCGATCTCTGTAACGAGCAAGCGCGCCATCTGCAAATCAGCCGATGGCTGATGAACGCCTCTTATATGGGTAATTCCTGTGTGATTTTTGGGCATATTCCGCCATTTGTTGACAGAAGAGAAAACAATTCTTAGCCGACTTGGGTAATTTATTGCGAATTTTAGGCCGCGTGCTGTGCTATAATATATGGCTCGCGTATTGTCGGGGGCCTCTACTACCGATCGGCAGTGTTTTCTGACCATGCTCAAAAAGTGTTGCAGGGCCCCTTTAACATGCCCAAATGTTGCGAGTTGTAGCTTCATTTTCCTGCCCTTAAAGCAACCTTAAGCACCTGTTTCTTTTTTCTTCTATTCAGGTATTTTGCAAGCATAGTTCTGCAGTTCCAGTTCTACAAGGCGCTCTGTGAAGAGGCCAACCACACTGGCCCACTTCACAAGTGTGACTTCTACAGGTCGAAAGAAGCAGGAAAACTATTTGGGTACGTTCATCGCGCATTCCCGGGAAATGACTAAAATGATGGAGAAACTGCATAGTAATTTAAGAGTTGCTAAGAGGAGCATAGAAGTCCTGTTCAAGAAACCACAGCGAATGAACACAGGTTTCCCTTGCGAAGGTGTCAGTGAGCTGCACGTGGAATTACTTGTTACGCATCACTGCATCAGTTAAGCAACATTCACAGATGATGTTACAAATGACATAGCACCAGGCAGTGTTACTTAGCACGTCTTAATGTTCTACCCACTACCAAGCTGATATGTGGGGTTTAAGGTCCCAAAACCACCATACGATTATGAGAGACGCCGTAGTGCAGGGCTGCGGAAATTTCGACCACCTGGGGTTCTTCAACCTGCACCCCGGCCTACAGAATTTTCGCCTTCATCGAAAATGCAGTCACCACAGCCGGGATTCTATCTCGCAACCTGTGGGTCAGCAGCCGAGTACTTTAGCCACTAGACCACCGCGGCGGGGCCATTAGCCAAGCTCTTGAGATTCTTCTCTATGTACGTACCTGCCAATAGCTAGCAGCGTTATGAAGCAAAATACCACATAGTTTTTCTCTTCCGCAGTGTGGTTACAGCTTTATGTTATACTGTCAGCAGGTGTTCAACACAGAAAGGTGCTGAATTATTTTTGAGAAGTGTACTGTGCACAGCAGTACACTGCTGTCTACGTCCAGTTCTGTAATAATAAGCTGTTTATTGTCCCCTGAGCTACTTATCGAGACAATGTCATCAGCGAATCGCAGTTTACTAAGATACTCTCCATTAAATCTCATTTCTAACTGTTCCCAGACTACGGTCCCGAATACCTCCTGTAAACACGGGGTGAATAGCATTGGAGAGATCGTGTCTCGCTGCCTTACACCCTTGTTTATTGGGATTCTTCACTTTCTTAATGGAGAACTAGTGTACTTGTGGAGCCACGGTAGATTCCTGCCAGTATGTTTATGTAGGGTTCTTCGATGCCCTCATTCCGTAGTGCCTGCATTACTGCTGATGCCTCGATTGAGTCAAGCGCCTTCTCGTAATTTATGAAAGCTATGTATAGGGGTTGGTTGTATTCAATGCTTTTTAATTACCTGATTGATAGCATGCATATGCTCTATTGCAGACTAGCCTCTTGCTTGGTCCTTTGTTTGACTGAACTCTAACATCACCTTAATTCTATTAGCTATTATTTTTGTAAATAGTTTGTAGAGAATGTACAGTAAGCTGATTAGCCTGTATTCCTTGAAGTGTTGTGAGAGAAACAATTGTGAGAAACAATAATGGATCGAAGGAATTCAACATCCTACCAGTAACAACAGAGGAAGAAAGGAAAGCCCTAAAAAGAATACAGAAAGGCAAAGGCACTGATGAGGATAAGGTAACAACGGGCCTCCTAAAAGATGACGGAGATATTGTGTTAGAAAAATTAGCCACCTTATATGCACAGTGTCCCTTGACGGGAAGGGTACCAGAATCTTGGAAGACCGCCAACATCATCTTAATCCATAAAGAGCTCATTACTAAATCGAACATGTTGTGATGCAGGTAAAGTTGAATACTGGCAATACATGCCATCCGAAACTTAAGAGATACACGTAGCTTCTTTTCCCCCGTTCCACTGCAATGCCTTTCATGTTTGAGGGCCCTGTTTTATATCTGCCATAACAATGTAGCTAGATCAGCATGAATATTCTAACAATGCAAGCAAGCACTCACCGGTTGGGCAAAGTCCACTTGAAAGGACGTAGCATTATTCTCATGCTGAATGGGGTGGCAAACTGAATTCACAACACAGAAAGTGCAGTCACCATAAAAAATGTTTAGATCCAGCGACCAATGGCTAGATCATTTTCTGAGGTATTCACTGCTATACACTTGCATAGGATTTTTGAGGGGAAAATACAGTTATTTGATATAGTAAGTGATTCAATACACACAGATTCAACATATTCAGGTTTGAATGCACACCATAATTCTACTCAAAGTTTTAGGCTTTCAAGTTCTGTGCACTACTCTTTGGCCATTTCCGCAGACAATTTGAAAAGTTCGTGATGCATGAAACTTACTGAATGTACAACATAATCGGCCACTGCAATAATATCTCGACACGCTCTGGCTGAATCAAGCAGCAGAACACACACAGCACCGCTTCCGATCATGTCTTCACTAATTCGTAGTGCAATAAAGGTACGTGCTGGTTAGAACTCTCCATTGTCAACCATAAATTCATTGTTACTAGTGATTAGATCTATAAAAACGAGACCTCCAAACTCCTGACTGAGCTGTGCAAGAAGTCCCCAAGTCACAAATGGTTAATAAATTACGGGTAATCACGAAAGTTATACAAATTTAGAACAAAGAAAGCTATACACAGTAAAAGAACAAATTCTAAAGCAGAGTATACATTGTGGCTTAGGGTTCATGCGCACACATGCATACATTGTGTTGCAGTAGCAAAGCAAGGTCACACGCTAAACACACAAAACATTTCTTTTCATGCAGGGATGTGATGGAGCTGGGATACTCCAAACCATGGCCAGAAGCTTTGGCCATGCTAACTAAAAACAGGATGAGAGAAATGGATGCCAGTGCACTTCTGGAGTACTTCGACCCCCTCTATCAATGGCTGAAAGAGTACAACAAGGGAACGTATGTTGGTTGGAAGAGCAATAATCCGACTGCCTGCCCAGGGACTACAAGAATGTGCACTATCAAAGGAAAACACAAATAACTGAGGACTGAATGCCAGAGACATCCATTAATATTCCTGGAGATGTCTCAAGACCCGCTTGATGCACAGCACATTTCTCAATCCATAGGAGATACACAAAACAAAAACAAGTTCACATAAATAAAAACTGAGCCCACACATCATGGATCAGAAGACTTTTGTAGCTCTCAGTTTAGATGTCAAACATTCTTTATGTGACTTGTCATTGAACCAACGGTTTGTGAACGATTAAGCAATGTGTTAATATGTTATCACGCACCATCACTATTTTTCAACTCTTTCAAATCTTTGGCATTTACTTAGCAAGTTACTTTGGCATTTATGCAGCATTGCTTCCTTTTGAAAGGTTTCAAGTCCCAGTGTAACAAACTTCTGAAAGACCACATTACATGAGCGAATTGTGAAAATAAGAAAATGTGTATTCAATGTTCCTAATCTGCATAATAAAGTACTATAAGAAATTTGTAGTAATTGTGATATAGATGTGAAAAAAATGGAAGTAAAGGCAATTTTCCACTGGCAGAGACTGAAACAACAATTATAGGATCTTCAGAATCTGAATCTTGCAGGTGTGGTCCCTGCGAGCGGCGGGTTGTCTTTTTGTCCCCTTTGGTCCTGGCTCATTGATATCACAGTTACATTCCAATGCACTTAGAACGGTACAATTACGATTCACTATATTTTCCTTGACTTCATTGTCTGCCGGTTTTCATTAGGGTTGCGTTCAGCAAAGAAACAAGCCCTCAAAAATCATGTTTCTTCATTCAATTATAATAAATGGCAATCTAATCAGCTGGTTCCCTACAATTTGCCACGACACACGAGTATGCAAGCAATTTCTCACTCTGAAACATCATAACAGAGCTGCTGCACTCAAGCCTATGACATCTTGCTTAGCAGTCCAGCCACAGGTGTCGGCAAAGAGGTGAAAAAAATGGGCACTTGCCACCCCCCCTCAAGCAGCACCTGCCCTACCACAGACCCTTTTCCCTTGCACCACAATGAACACTGTCTTCCCTAGCCACCGAAGCCTAAGACAAAACCCTGTCAGCACCCGTGACTTCAACACCACTATCATGACCTTACCAAGCATAAATAAGTGGAATAAAAAATTACTTTCTAAACAGTTACTATACACAGCACCTGTTTTACCTCCTATCTATCCAAATCGTTTTCACTTTTATGAAGTAATGTTGAACTCTGTGCCCACCCAAAAGCCAGTTTTGCCACAAGGTCAGAACGATGAATGTGATAGCAACACGTGAGAATGAAAGACGAAGAATGACAAGCAGCTCGTTACTTGCAGTGTGCCGCTCAAGTTCAAAATACACGCGAAAAGAACACACTCAGAGTGAGCGTGAACTAAAAAGCATCACAGTTATTACTTCTTTGTCTCTGAGCAGAGCGCTGCAAGTGTTGACTATGCACAACCTTCAGATATTTTTTTTTTAAAGAACAGCGACACATGAAGTGACCCCCACCACATCTCGTGCCAAGGGATGACTTTCAATGCTTACCTTCTTTACCCTGTGTTTAATTTCATGAGTGGGTACAGAAATAGACGACTTTTCATTTTGTCAAACTGAAACAAAATCTAGAAGCATCGCTTTAAGGCGTACCCCTTGGGTTATCTAATTGGGAATACTGCATACAGTCAAGCGCCTCCGAGATCTGCCTACCACCGGGCGTAAATGGTTTATACGAATAGCTCATGATTAATATACTAAATAATGTGTGGCGCATGACCAAGTTGTCAAATGCAGTTCATTGCGGAGTGAGGCACCACAGTTTGCATTCCAGTGGCACACTTCGGAATTTTTCCCCCCAATCGATTTTTCTTTGCGACTTTTGCTTATATATACATACATATATGAAACTTGATGGCGATGGCAAAAAAACACAAAAGTGTTCATATAACTGGTATAAAAAGAGAAGCAAAATACCTTTCCTGTCTCAATCGCTGTATCAATAGCACTAGCAAAGGGAGCACTCAATGACAGATAACTTGCCAGTGGTAAAATACTTCTCATCTACATTTTTTCACATTTACATTACAGTTACTTCCAATAATGTTCCCTAAAGTTTCCCTGGCATTCTTATTTGTTAGTTCTCATTAATATCATGTCCAACAACGAAAATGAGCCCTTAAATGTACACTTTCCTTCATTCTGTACAAAAGTGTACTTCCGAAGGACCACTGACAGGCAAATTTTTGTTTGTGACTTTTTGTTTTGATGAGTGGGACCTCTATATCATTATAAGGAATTTTAATTTAAATGCTCTGAAGTGACGTGTTTAATTATGACCAACTATGGCGTCACTTCAGTATTTCTGACTGATGTCATAAATAGCTGGCACCTGACTGCCGTATTCGTAACTGACCAGACATAAGGTTCCAAGTGCTCAAACTTCAAAGATATTGCTACGTGCCAGTGCATGGAGCTGAAGAAGACGAAGCAGATAGACTGGCACGAGCTAATCTGTGTGGCTGGCGCTGCTCGCCTAACCGTCTGTAAATACATCGGTGACTACCCCTCTGAGTCAGTCTCCTTCACGTAACATATTTGGTGGAGTTGTGCGATCCCCGTCCTCGCCACGGAACTCCGAAGCGGACGCTCACTCGCGGCTTACAACATGACCACCCAAGACTCGGCTACATCCTCTCCGGTCGCTCCCCCTTCTGCCCGACCTGTCAACCCCGCGCCCGCAACAACATTCGTGACGCTTCCCGCGCTCAAAGACCCCGGCGTGTTCTCGGGCAGCGAGGGTTCCGACGTCGACCAGTGGCTACGCCTCTACGAACGCGTCAGCGCCACTTACAGGTGGGATCCCACTCTTATGCTGGCAAACGTCATCTTTTATCTCGACGGAACACCTCGTGTTTGGTTTGATAACCACGAGCATGACATAACAAGCTGGGACAGCTTCAAGGCAAAGATCCGTGAGCTTTTTGGCAACATCTCTGGTCGTCGTGAAGCTGCGAAAAATGAGTTGTCGACTCGCGCACAATCTTCCACGGAGCCCTACATCGGTTATATTCAGGCTGTCCTTTCACTATGCCGCCAAGCTGACGAAAATATGTCTGAACCTGAAAAAGTTGCCCATATCCTAAAGGGTATCGCCGACGATGCGTTCAACTTGTTGGTATTCAACAATGTGTCGTCTGTTGATGCCATCATTCAAGAATGCCGCCGGTTCCAACAAGCTAAAAGCAGACGCATCTCCCATCAGTTCCAGCGCCTCCCGAACACCACTGCTACGTCCTCATGTCTTGACACATATCATCCACCAGACAACTGTGACAACTTGACGCGAATCGTCAGGCGGGAGCTTGAAGCGGCTGCTCCAGCTAAGGTGGGAACAACGTCCCCTGACCCCTCTCCGCCAATTACGTTGCCTCTCATTCAAGCAGTCGTCCGGCAGGAAATCGCCAGCTTGGGAATTCACTCTATCTCACCGCCTACCCGCACCGACTACCAGCCCCGATACACGCCTGCACGTCCCTTCCCGACCGGCTCTCCCTCAACGTTCCGTAATCCGTCCGCATGGCGAACACACGATGACAAGCCGATATGCTTCTCGTGTCACAGAATCGGGCACATTTCTCGCCATTGCAGAAGTCGCTGGGGTCCTCCTGCACAACCGTCCTCTCGTCCCTTATATGCACGTCCTGCCTATCGCCATGAGACCAACCGCGACCATTTTGCCCAGGAACCTGCTTCTGAACGCCGCTACTCCCGCTCTCCATCCCCCCAACGTCGCCAGTCTCGTTCTCCACAGCCCCGCCGACCATCTTCCCCCGCCTTCCCACGAGGTTCTCCGACGGAAAACTAAGCGTTGCAGCCCCCGGAGGTGGCGCTGCATCGCTCGGACTGACCGAAAATCCTCTTTTGACGATACCGACAAAACGGAACCTCATAGACGTACAAGTAGACGGCCTACATGTCACTGCTCTTGTCGACACCGGCGCCCAACTTTCCGTGATGACGAGTGATTTTCGCCGCAAGCTCAAGAAGGTTCTCACACCTGCGACCACCCAGTTCGTCCGTGTTGCGGATGGTGGCATAGCATCGATCGTTGGAATGTGCTCCGCTCGTGTGAGCATTGCGGATCGACACACAGTTGTTCTCTTCACCGTCCTTGATAAATGCCCCCACGACGTAATCTTAGGCCTCGACTTCCTATCCGCGCATTCTGCCCTCATAGACTGTTCGACCAGTACGCTCCGTCTACACTTGCCCGCAACAGAACCTCTTACACAACGGCCGAGTCGCCTCTGCACAACGGGACACGCGCGCCTCCCTCCACAGACACTGACCTACATAAAGCTCGTCTCAATACCACCAGTTCCCGACGGTGACTATGTTCTGACCCCTATCACCGATGTTCTCATAAGCCGTGGCATTACATTACCGCACACCATTCTGTCCGTCGCAGGAAATTCTACGTGCCTCCCAGTTGTCAACTTTAGCTTGACACCTCAAGTTTTGCCACAAGGGATGTCTTTAGCGTTGCTCTGCACCTTAGAAGACAATGCGGTAGATGTTTTCGCGATGGCCGCCCCTTCTGAACCCCACGCTCAACATCAGTCTGCCACTTGCTCCGACAGCGCTATTACTTCGATGATCGCTTCCAACTTAACACCGCAGCAGACTGATGAGCTCCACCGGGTTCTGCTGTCCTACATCGACGTATTTGACATCAGCGGCCGTCCGTTGGGGAAAGCTACCGGTATGAGCCACCGCATAAACACTGGTAATGAGCATCCTATTCATAGGCGCCCATATCGGGTGTCGGCGGCCGAGCGTCACATCATCCAAAGTGAGGTCGACAAAATGCTCGCCAAGGACATCATTGAGCCATCTTGCAGTCCTTGGGCTTCTCCTGTAGTGCTAGTCCGCAAGAAAGACGGTGCATGGCGTTTCTGTGTGGATTATCGACCCCTAAACAAAATTACCAAAAAAGACGTCTACCCTCTGCCACGAATAGATGATGCG